ACCAATAACAAGGTCAGAAGTCGAGGCTGCTGCCTACCACACAACTAAGAGCCTACCACACAATAAAAGCCCAGGTCGAGACAAGTTCACAGACGAATTCTATCAGACACACAAAGATGAGCTGGTACCATTCCTTCTGAAACTATTCCAAATAATCCAAAAAGAGGGAATCCTTCCCAAATCATTTTATGAGACCAATATCATCCTGATACCAAAACCCGGCAGAGACCCAACAAGAAAAGAAAACTTCAGGCCAATATTCATGATGAACATAGATGCAAAAATCTTCAATAAAATATTGGCAAGCCGATTGCAACAGCAAATCAAAAAACGTATTCATCATGATAAAGTAGGATTCATCCTGGAGATGCAAGGCTGGTTCAACATACGCAAGTCTATAAATGTAATTCACTACATAAACAGAACCAAAAACAAAAACCACATGATTATCTCAATTGACACAGAGAAGGCATTTGACAAAATTCAACAGCCCTTTATGCTAAAAACCCTCAATAAACTCAGTATCGATGGAACATATCTCAAAGTAATAAAAGCTATTTATGACAAACCAACAGCCAATATCATACTGAATGGGCAAAAACTAGAAGCATTCCTTTGAAATCTGGCACTAGACAAGAATGCCCTCTTTCACCACGCCTATTCAATATAGTACTGGAAGTCCTAGCCATAGCAATCAGGCAAGAAAAAGAAATAAAGCGTATTCAAATAGGAAAGGTGGAAGCCAAATTGTCTCTATTTGCAGACAACATGATAGTATACCTAGAAGACCCCATCGCCTCAGCTCAAAAACTCCCGAAACTGATAAGCAACTTCAGCAAAGTCTCAGGATATAAAATCAATGTGCAAAAATCACAAGCATTCGTCTACACCAATAACAGACTTAAAGAAAGCCAAATCAAGAACGAACTTCCATTCACAATTGCTACAAAAAGAATAAAATACCTAGGAATACAACTCACAAGGAACGTAAGGGACCTCTTCAAGGAAAACTACAAACCACTGCTCAACGAAATCAGAGAGGACACAAACAGATGGAGAAACATTCCATGTTCATGGTTAGGAAGAATTAATATCGTAAAAATGGCCATACTGCCCAAAGTAATTTACAGAATCAATGCTATCCCCATCAAGCTACCACTGACTTTCTTCACAGAACTGGAAAAAAACACCATGAACTTCACATGTAACCAAAAGAGAGCCTACATAGCCAAGTCAATTCTAAGCAAAAAGAACACAGTGGGGGGCATCATACTACCGGATTTCAAACTATACTATAGGCTACAGTAATCAAAACAGCATAGTACTGGTACCAAAACAGAGATATAGACCAATGGAACAAAACAGAGGCATTGGAGGCAACACAACATATCTACAACCATATAATCTTTGATAAACCTGACAAAAACAAGCAATGGGGAAAGGATTCCCTGTTTAACAAACGGTGTTGGGAAAACTGGCTAGCCATGTGCAGAAAGCAGAAACTGGACCCCTTCCTGACACCTTACACTAATATTAACTCCAGATGGATTAAAGACTTAAACATAAGACCTGGCACCATAAAAACCCTAGAAGGAAATGTAGGCAAAACCATCCAGGACATAGGAGTAGGCAAGGACTTCATGAAAAAAACACCAAAAGCATTGGCAACAAAAGCCAAAATAGACAAATGCGACCTAATGAAACTCCACAGCTTCCGCACAGCAAAAGAAACAGTCACTAGAGTGAATCGGCAACCAGCAGAATGGGAAAAAATTTTTGCAGTTTACCCATCTGACCAAGGGCTGATATCCAGAATTTACAAAGAACTCAAACAGATTTACAGGAAAAAAACAAACAAGCCCATTCAAAATTGGGCAAAGGATATGAACAGACACTTTACGAAAGAAGACATATATGAGGCCAACAATCATATGAAAAAATGCTCGTCACTGGTCATCAGAGAGATGCAAATCAAAACCACACTGAGATACCATCTCACTCCAGTTAGAATGGCGATCATTAAAAAATCTGGAGACAACAGATGCTGGAGAGGATATGGAGAAAAAGGTACATTTTTACACTGTTGGTGGGAGTGTAAATTAGTTCAACCATTGTGGAAGACAGTGTGGCAATTCCTTAAGGCCTTAGAAATAGAAATTCCATTTGACCCAGCAATCCCATTACTGGGTATATATACAAAGGACTATAAATCGTTCTACTATAAGGACACATGCACACGAATGTTCATTGCAGCACTGTTTACAATAGCAAAGACCTGGAACCAACCCAAATGCCCATCGATGTCAGACTGGGCTGGGAAAATGTGGCACATATACACCATGGAATATTATGCAGCCATCAGAAATGATGAGTTCGTGTCGTTTGTAGGGACATGGATGAATCTGGAGAACATCATTCTCAGCAAACTGACACAAGAACAGAAAATGAAACACCGCATATTCTCACTCATAGGTGGGTGATGAAAAATGAGAACACATGGACACAGGGAGGGGAGTACTAAACACTGGGGTCTATTGGGGGTAAAAGGGGAGGGCCCGTGGGAGGGGTAGGTGGGGAGGGATAGCCTGGGGAGAAATGCCAAATGTGGGTGAAGGGGAGAAAGAAGCAAAACACACTGCCATGTGTGTACCTATGCAACTGTCTTGCATGTTCTGCACATGTACCCCAAAACCTAAAATGCAATAAAGAATTAAAAAAAAAAAACAAAGGACAGTAAGCCTTTAATCCTTCCCTGAAGATTTGAACAATATAAACAAGATATATACATAGAAGTTTGTGGTACAGTGAATCTCAGAAGCAAGTACAAGGTCAAAAGCATATGCATCCCTCAGAGTGGGGGATGTTTTCCTCTGTGAAGGAGAATTGCACTGAGAGCTTCAGAGGAAAGATGGCCTTTGAGCTGTGTACTGATGGATACATACAACCTTGCTGTTTATACCAAGTGGAGAAGAACCATTCTCAACAGAGGGATCAGCATGAGCACACTTGTAAAGGCAGCAAACAATATACCATGTTTAGGGACATAAAAGTAGTTTCCTATTTCTAGGTGATAAAGCAAAATGGAGAGAGCTCCAGAATCTCAAGTTAAAGAGGTGCTTAAAACGTATATTAAGAGTTAATTTTTATGCTTTTAAATATCAAATTATTTGCTCATTGGTTCAGGCATGCATGTATGCATGAATTCAAATATTTTGTGAATATTTACTAGTATCTGCCTCTGTGAAAAGTCCTTTGGCTTTCCTGGGAAACATTGGAAGAATTGTTTGGGGCTACACTTAAAATACACTAACACTAACAATAGGTGATGAGCTAAAAAAATAAATAAATAAAAATCACAAAAAAATCTCTTCTATGTAGAAAATCCTAAAGACTCCACAAAAAACCTGTTAGTATAAATAATATAGCAAAGTTATAAGATATAAAATTAGCACACAAAAATCAGTTTTGTTTCTATACACTAACAATGAACAATCTGAAAAGTAGATTATGAAAAGTAAAAGAAAACAATTCCATTTGCAATAGCATCAATATCATAAATAAAAAGAAAAAAGAGAGAAAGAAACTTAGCCAAGAAGGTAAAAGACTTGTATAAAGAAAACTACAAAACATTGGTGACAGCAATTAAAGAAGGCACCTACAAATGGAAAGACACTCTGCATTCATGGATTAAAAGACTTAATATTATTAAAACATCTATATCACCCAAAGTGACCTACAGATTCAGTGAATTCCCTATCACAATTCCAATTACATGAATTTTTTTTAACCCTAAAATTTGTACGGAATCTCATGGGACTCTGAATAGCCAAAACCATCTTGAAAGAAAAAAGCAGAGCTGGAGACCTAACACATCTTGATTTCAAAACATATTATGCAGCTATAGTAATCCCAACAGTGTTACTGGCATAAAAAAAAAGACATATAGAGCAATAGAGTGAAATAAAAAACCCAGAGATAACCCTCACATATATGGTAAAATAATCTTTCAAAAAGGTGTGAAGGTTACACATAAGGGAGAAGATAGTCTCTTCAACAAATAATGTTGGGAAAACTGAACACGCACCTGCAAAATAATAAAGTTAGCACCTTACCTTAGACAATACACAAAAATAACTCAAATGGATTAGACTTGAAACCATAAACTCCTGAAGGAAAATATATGGCGAAAGCTTCATCATATTGGTTTGGCAAGGATTTCTTCGATACAACACCAAAAGTATAGACAAAAAAAAAAAAAAGCCAAATAGATAAATGGAACTATGTTAAACTTTCAAAATTCTACACAGCAAAGGAAACAATCAACTGAGTAAAGAGACAACACAGGCCATGAAAGAATATCTGTGAATGGTATATCTGATATGGGGTTAATACCCAAAATATATCAAGAGCTCCTACCAATCAATAACAACAAAACAATCTCATTTAAAAATGGATACAGGACTGAATAGGTATTTCTACAAAGATACACAAATGGCCAAGAAACAGAAGAAATGTTCAGCATCCTTATAATCATTAGGGAAATACAAATTGAAACCACAATGAGATATTACCACACATCAGTTTTTACTTTTATTTTTAAGTCAAAACAGGAAATAACAAGTGTTGGTGAGGATACGGAGAAATTAGGACCCTCTTTTGCTATTCATGGGAATGCAAAATAGTGTAGCCTCTATAACAAGCAATACAGAAATTCCTTTTAAAATTAAAAATATAATTATAATATGATCCTACAAACCTACATTTGGGTATATGTCCAAAAGAACTGAAAATAAGATCTCAAGGAAGTATTTGTATACTCGTGTTCATTGTAGCATTATTCAAAATAGCTAAAATGTGCAAGTAACCTAAATGTCCATCAATAGATAATTGGATATAGAAAATATGATACACACCCAATGGAATATTACTTAGCTTTAAAAAGAAGGAAACGTCGTCAGATCCTACAACATGAATGAATCTTGAGGACATACTGCTAAGTGTAATAAACCAGTCACAGAAAGACAAATACCTTTGGGAGGCTGAGGCAGGCGGATCACGAGGTCAAGAGATCGAGACCATCCTGGCCAACATGGTGAAACCCCGTCTCTATTAAAAATACAAAAAAAAAAAAAAATTAGCTGGGCGTGGTGGCATGCGCCTGTAGTCCCAGCTACCTGGGAGGCTGAGGCAGGATAACTGCTTGAACCCCGGAGGCAAAGGTTGCAGTGAGCCAAGATTGTGCCACTGCACTCCAGCCTAGCACCTGGCAACAGAGTGAGACTCTGTCTCAAAAAAATAAAAATAAAAAGGAAAAGAAAGACAAATACTACATGATTCCACTTACACAAGATATCTAAAATAGTCAAACACTTAGAAAGTAGAATAATAGTTGCCAGGACCTTGAGGGAGAGGAAAGAGGGGAGCGGTTCAATGGATATAAAGTTTTAGTTTTGCAAGATGAAGAAGTTCTAGAGGTCTCTTGCATGACAATGTATATATAGTTAAAACTACTCTACTGTATATTTTTAAATGACTATAATGGTAAATTTTATGTTTTCGTCCACAGTAAAAATTAAGGGAGTAAGACAAAAAAACTTACTTTAGCTTTTGCCCTAGGAATTCACTTTAAGTTGTAAGCAGTTTTCTTTAAATACTGTACTTACGTCAAAATTCACCTGAAAAAAAAAATGACTGTTTTTCAGAATATCAAATCCAAATTTATGTTGGAATTTACATTTCTCTGCTAACTAAAGATTTCTCTCAGAATTCATTAATTAGATCAAGACATATTTAATGACCTGCTCTGAGCCAAGTTCTGAATCAAGTTATGAAAATGATACAGTACATACAGATCTTGCCTCATGGATCCTTCAGAGAAGATGCAAGGTTCTGTTGTAGGTTTTGTACTCTCAGTGCCAAACACTCAAACTAGATTATACATTTCCTAAATCCAATACACCTGCTACAGTGCTTTCGATGTTAATTTTTAAAAGCAAATACATAGATGAAGAATAAAAGATACTTCATTCAAATATTTAACTTTCATCAATTTAAAATTGTGCATTTAAAGACATATATCCAGATCTACAGATTCATGGTGGTATATACATGTAAAAATGAAAAAAGAAAACATTGTATATGATGTATGTATTCTTTTTAGTGGCCCAATAATAAAAATAAAATTCAAGACGCAATGCCTTCTATATTATGTCTTATGATAATTTTTGATATCTATAAAATCCTAGCTGGCCTGAATTAAAATAACTCTTGAAATTAGTTACCCAATCAGCAACTGGGTGATCAATTTTGCACCCAGAGTGTCCTACTGACCAGCAGTAATTCAGTCATAACCTTAAAATGCATTTATTTGCTTATTTTATTTTATTTTCGAGACAGAGTCTTGCTCTGTAACCCAAGCTGGCGTGCAAAAGCACAATCTCGGCTCACTACAACTTCTGCTTCCCAGGTTCAAGCAATTCTCCTGCCTCAGCCTCCCAGGTACCTGGGATTACAGGTACCTGCCACCACACCCAGCTGATTTTTTGTATTTTTAGTTGAGACAGGGTTTTATCACTTTGGCCAGGCTGGTCTCGAACTCCTGACCTTACCTGATCCACCCGCCTCAGCCTCCCAAAGTGCTTGGATTACAGTTGTGAGCCACTGCACCCATCCTATTGATTTAATTAGAAAAGTAACTTGCTAAATTTTTAGTGGTTTAAAATAAAGACAACACTAGTCACATAAATTGGTTAAAATGCTATTTAGTCTTAACAAATGTGAAAATTAGACCTATGTGTTGACGTTTTACTTTGAAATACTAAGGTTTTTGTTTAAAAGTAAAAAGGCAATCCTGACATTTGCCGCAGAATAGATGAGGTAGGAAGACAATATGCTAGGTGAAATAAGCCAGACACGGAAAGTAAAATGCCACATGACCTCATTTATATATGTATAATCCCAAATACATATGTATATGTATGTATTTGGGATTATACATATATAATATGTGTATTTGGGATATACATATATAATATGTATTATGTATTTAATACATATAATATATATATGTATTTGGGATTATACATATATAATATGTGTATATATATATATGTATTTGGGATTATACATATATATATATATCTCTATATTTTTTTTTGAGACGGAGTTTTGCTGTTGTTACCCAGACTGGAATGCAATGGCACGATCTTGGCTCACCACAACCTCCACCTTCTGGGTTCAAGCAATTCTCCTGCTTCATTCTCCTGCGTAGCTGGGACTACAGGCATGCACCACCATGCCCAGCTAATTTTTGTATTTTTAGTAGAGACGGGGTTTCACCTTGTTGACCAGGATGGTCTCGATCTCTTGACCTCATGATCCACCCACCTCAGCCTCCCAAAGTCCTGGGATTATAGGTGTGAGCCACCACACCCAGCCAATCCCAAATAAATTTTTTAAAGTTGAGCATATAGACAGAAAGTAAAATAGTGGTTAACAACAGGTGGAGATGGGGCGAGGAGGAGAATGGTGAAATGTAAGTGAAAGGTTGTAAAGTAGGTAAGATGAACACATCTGGAGATCTAATGTACAACATGAGGACTATACTTAAATACTGTACTCCGCATGTTTGCTAAAAGGAAATTTTAGGTGATCCTGTCACACAAAAATATGGGTAATTGTGAGATGATAGCTATGTCAATTTGCTTCACTATAGTAACTTTTTCACTATCTACATGTGTATCTAAACATCATGTATTAAACGCTAAATATGTACGTTTTTTTAAAACACTTCAAAATCTGCAACACTCATTAAATTTGCAAGGGATTTAAAGTTAGAAGGATAGATCTAATTTCAAATTTTACATGGACTCATTGTAGGACAAAAGTATATCCTGCTTGTCCTATATTCCTTTACATATTTTTATATGCCTTTCCTATATATGCCCTTTTTATCTCCTGGTGAAGTTAAGGAGTACCAATTGCCAAATTATTTTATCCAGTAGTCCTTCATAAATATTGGTTACCTTCACAGTGAGGGTTTCCTAATACCAATTTCACATTCACCAGCTTGTTAAAACCCGACTCTTAATAAAATAGATTTTATTTTCCCATTAAGAAATCTTCCATAAACAAAAAAAAGTTTAGGATATTTCTGATGAGAAAGATTGGCGAAACTTATTTATTGTAGAAACAGAGCTGGAAAGAAATAAGAAATTTAGATATAAAAGTTATTAGTATTCAATTATATTATTTCTAATATTCTCTCTTAACCTAAATATCAAGAAAACACCTTTTTAACTGACCAAACTTTGAAATGTGTCTTCAGATAGAAATCAGCTGGACTACAAATCAGTGTTATTTTTGACTTAATATTTTGTATTCTAGATCAGTATTAACTTAGCTGAATAAAAATGAAATCACAATATAATATAGTTCCCTATTCTATAACTGAAGTTATTTTACTAGAAGAACCTATTTATTGATCTTCATGTTTAAAAATATTTTTAAAAGCATAGAAATATGCTATCCTTATTTTTTAGAAAAACTTTATTAGACATTAATTTCATGAAGAAACGGATGTGAAAAATTTTCCAAGTTTTGATTCACTATAATTTTGACTAATTGTTCACCTGCTGTGAAGATGTGAAAATCTCCAGCTTTATTCATCTCAGGATTGGTGTGAATTAGTTCTACATTCTACAATCTGATTTTTTTCAGGAATATATGAGCCATTTGAGATCATAATTTGTTTTCTTGAAACGAATCACTGACAAATTCCTTTAGTGTCATGAATTAACTTCTAGAAATGATTAAAAACACCCCGTCTGAAGCCCAGAGTTTTGCTAAATACAAGAAATCATCAGAACATGTGCAGTGGTCTGCTCAGTTTCCTTTTCCCTCCTCACGTGATGGCAGGCAGGGTGCTCCTTATCAGACCTTATGGTGTATCTAGTAAAAGCCAATCAGATGACTTATTTGATGACTCTGTGAGCCTGTCATGTAATGAAATCTATGATTCCTTTTCTCCTACCAGAAAACATGACTGAAACATGGCTTTGAGCTAAGGGAAAAACATATTAAACGGGTATGAAACTTTTGGAGCAAATTCTGTTTGATCCCGTTGTGTAAGTATGATTTGAATTTTCTATCATCTTTGTAAAAGACTTATGATTTAATGACTTAAAGCCAATCTTAGTATGGCAATAAAATATAGAAGTTTAATAATCAACAACAACAACAACAAAACCCTATTTACTTCTATTTTACCTGGATAAAACAAAGCATAAAGGTCCCAGGTGATGGTGTTGGTCACACTGATCTTGAACTCCAGACCTCAGATGATCTGCCCACCTCGGCCTCCCAATGTGCTGGGATTAAAGGTGTGAGCCACTGTGCCTGGCCCCCAATATTTACTCTAACCCTTAGTAACTGGTCACCCTGAGACAGGTCATGCAGGCCAGAGCTGAGCAGACACGTTAGGGCTTAACTTCTGTGTTTAGAAAATTAGGAGACAAAGATAGAGATAGACCAAGTGTAGTGTGATAACCTCAAAGACCACATCTGACAAACAAGGTCCCTTTTTATAGATTTGCTTTTCTTTAAAAGTATAAATCCTTTTTTAAAAAATGTAAATCTTGTCATTTTCAAGGAAGAAATCTACCATTAACCTTTCAGTTTTCCCCCAATTCCAATCTTAGCAAAGCCAATTCACAGTAAAGCCGAAAGTTTAGAAATTTTGTTTTCTGTCTTATTCTCTCGTTTTTGCAGCATCTTCTTCTCTCTGGTACAGTTCTTTAATATATCATGGATGCTTCACCTCCCCACCTCAAAACAGAGTAGTTAAAACAGAGGAGTTAAAGCCACACTTTATGTTTCTGACTGAAAAACTGACTATAATCTACTGAAGTACAGCTTTAATATATTACCTCAAACATTAGTTTTATTTTCAGTAGGATGGGGATTTTTTCTTTGTTTTTAATAGCTGGTAATCAATTTATTAAAATAGTTGACTTAAGCATCTGCAATAGTGACATTCACCTCAACTCACGGCTCAATACTGACGGAAATAATCTGTTTAACAACCTCAGGACTGCGAAGGTCAACGAGTCGCTTCTGGATTCTCATCTGGAAATGATCCCATGTCTTAGAACCTTCACTACAAGATTTTCTTGCAGTGATTCTCAGTCTTGGTAGGCATTTGAACCGGTTCTTTCACTTCGAGATTAAGGGATTTTACGCTGCGCCTCATTAGAGTGATTTGAATTCAGTGAACTGCCACCTTCCGCTCCACGGGTGGTTTTTCCGCATCCTGAAAAGCCGTGGCTGCTGCGCGGCTTCCTGAACAACTTGTTCCTCCGTGAGAGCCAACAGCAGCGAGTCAGGAGCAGGAGCCTGCAGATCCGCGATCCGCAATCCGTGATCCGCGCAACTATGACCCCCGTCTTCCTCAGAGAGCAAGAGTTTTTTTGTTTTTTGTTTTTTCCTAATTGCTTAAAGATACGAACCTTACCCATAAGAATGGGAAGCGCGAAGAGCCATGTGTCAGTCAAACCGTTCACAGGAGGCCAGTCCAGCCAAATCAGTTGTTGGACCTACACTCTGAGAAACTGCATCGTAAAACCATGACCTATTTTTGCTATTTTGTCGGAACTTGAAAGTTTTTTTTTTTAAATCAAAGTACTAGATAACTCCAAAAATACGTAATAATGATAAAACAATTACGTATCTATTATCAGGAAGCATAAAAATCATACAAATAATCGAATCGGAAGAGCATCATTTGTTGTAAGTATTCCTTTTATAGGTAAACATCAGTTCCTGCAACATTAGACCATTGTAGTTTAGAAATGAGTAATCTAATTTATTGGCCATGGAGGAGATTCAGCTCTTTGAAAAACATAGTCATTTTTAACCTTCTCATTGTTCATTGTTAGGCATCTGACAATAGGATTTAATGTTTAGATATTTAAGCCTTTTCCTTATGCAATAATATCCCAAAGGCAGTCATTTCCGATGGTATTTGGAATCCCAAATCTTAATTCTTTTCAGGAACAATGGAAATAAACAACCAATTGTAGGTTTTTCCCTATTTCCTTATTAAATAAAACCTTTTCACTTTTGCAGGCCTGCACTCTCCCTGTGATTGCTGGTTTAATTACCCATTAGTCGTCTTTCTAATTTTAATTAAACAGACTTAAAGTGGTGGCAAAGGGCATTTTTAATGTTTGTTGGCTCTATTACTCTAGAGAGAAAAGATTTAATTTATTGCTTTTAATTCAACACACACACATACTTCTGATTGGGTAACACTGGGCTTTGAAGTACTTAAACCGAAAAGTAATTTCAAAATAAGCACTCCTTTACTCTTTGGACTATTTGAAAATAAGCTGCCAGCATGACTGCCAAATGTACCCTCAGGTCCACATCTACATAAAAATATTTGCCAAACCATTGAGTCCACATCTCTATGAGGACAACATGCCACTTCTGATATGAGCTCTAGGGGCTTAATGGCAGATAATTAGTTCTCAGCTATCAATCCAATGTAGTTGCTTATTACTTCTGTCCTTGGAGACAACCTACATGATCTTATATTGTTAGAAATCTGTATCGACAAATAATTTTCAGATGTCCTCTTTTTTCTTGTTGTTGTCATGGTTATTCATATTCCCAAATGATTATATTAAATCCCAAATATACATTAGAATTTTAGTAATACATAAAATTATAGCATTTACATCTCTACATACTGTAGAGAGGTTAAGGTTAATTTTTAAATTGAATCTAGCAATGTGTGAATTTTCAAAATAGGTTTAATGTTTTACATGATCATTCATTTAACTGCTAAGTTCATTTTTATTAGTGTTTGCTTGATATTCTATCTTGAGAGGGAATTATTTTAATGACAAATTATAGTAAATCAACAAATAGTTTATTTTTTTAGTATCAGGATTTCCTCTTTAACATATTTTTATTGATTTATAATTATATAAATTATAAATTTATATAATTTATAAAATTATATAAAACAGACATTTGTTAAATGAGACTACAGGAACTCACGGATCCCATTCCTAAGTATAATATATCCATTTCACATTGACTTGCTTTCTTGTTCTCAAAAATTTATTTTGCCCAACTTTGCTTAGAGGATTGTGTTTTATCACAAGCTATACTTAGGTTGTCATATTGAAAGAATAGTTTAAATGCCATATTTAAACTGACAAAATTGGCAAGCCCAGAAAGAAACAATAGTGCTAAGAACAAACAGATGTCTGCATCTGGGTGAGAATTTTTCTCCCTAGAGGCAAATAAAATAGATTATAACCCTAAAGTTGCCAGAATTTGACATGGTGAGCCAAAACCTATCAGGAGATAGTGAAATTAGTTTATATAGCTCAGAAAGTAATTTTTGAATACATGACCAACACTTTGGTTTTGACTTTAAATGTCTATTCTGTTTTCTTTCAGATTGTTTCTGGCACTCTCTAGATAGAAAATTGTTCCAGCTGATCAAACCATTAGTAACTGGGTTAACCTTCTGAATCATACCTCTTTGGTGAACTGCTTGTGTTCATCTAGTTTGTCACATGCATTCTGATTCTGATTTATTGAGCATTTTTGGGGGGCAAGAGCTCAATTGTTTTTAAGAGGCATTGTGTCATTTCTCAAAAGAATTATACTTCATGAGCACTAGCATAAGCTTCTCCAGTTATGTGCTTTTGGCATATCCCCAAATTGGACTGTGACTGCATTTATTCATTTATAATCAGGAGAAGTACATACCTCATTTCTGCAAAAATCTCCTTTCCTGAGCTTCTCAACATCCACAGTCATTCCCTCCTATAGAATATATAGAAATAAGTTTATTATTGCTTCAGCCAAATAAACATGGCAAATATGGTTCTTACTCCTTAGTATTATATATCCTGAAACAGAAAAGCAATCATATAATTTCATAAACATAGAAAGGGAACACTGTGTAAACAATACGTTAATAAGTAATATACTTAAAACATTTGGTGTGATTTTTATACTTGAGATTTTTTTTGTTTAAAATTTGTTTCTCAATGAAAACTAGTCAAATTAAAAAGGAATGAACAAACTCAAACTTAGGAAAAAGTCCTATGGGAGTTTTCTTGTTTTCATTCTGCTTTCAGAGGATGCTATAAGTTTCACTCCTGCCTCTGTTCCAGAGGTATTTGGAGGATTGCAGTAAGTAGTCTATTAAGTAAGTTCCATTTAAGTTAGTTAAATATTTAGGTGGCTAACTCTATTTGATTATTATGCATAGTTGTTTTATCTTCTTTCTCACTTTCTGTCATAAAATGTTTTTCACCATCAAATTCATTCATTCATTTACTCATTCATGCACATCCTTCTGTATACAATACAAAGAAATATCAGAGAGATACAAATCATTAAAACATCAAGTTGTACTGAAAAGATATGAATGCACACAAAATTAAAGATAAAATTGTAAGTAAGAAATGTCAAATAAATGGTGCAGACAAAAACAGCCCTGAGAAGGGAGCGATGTAGAGATGCATTCGGTAAATAAATAAGTCACTCAGGAGCCCACAGAACCAAGTTTTGGCCATCAAATAAAAGGGAGTGAGCAGACAGGAAAACGCAAACCCCAACTGGGCAATCACCTGAAGTGCGTAGAAGCAAAGTTTCCATTCATGTCTCGGGTGGATACCTACCATATTTGAGACATGAGTATTAATAGAGTGCATAATTCTATTTTGGCACTGTACCAGACACCGGGAAAACAAAGCTGAAGGGATATGATCTATGTCATCATGGGCTGACTGTCTAGCAAAAGATACAAGTTTGCTGGTTTAGAAACAAGTCCTTAAATCAAATTTCTAACAAGGAGTTTTATGTGTTCCCTTCATTCATCTAATCAACAAGTATTTTCTAAAGATCCTCTTTGTGCCTAGTGTTGAAATAAATAAAGGGGTGAAAACACAGACAACATCAGGCAATGTGCTGCCCTCTAGGATCTTATATTCTAATGGGGGATTCAAGAGACAGTTAACAAGTAATTAAGTAAATACATAGTTTGTCATGTTAGATACATTCTATGGTGAAAAACAGAGTAAGATAAAAATATCAGGACAGCGGCAAAGCTGGATTCCTCACTGACAAGGTGTTTGAGCAGGTTCTCAAAGTGAGGGAAAAGCCAGCTGGCTCACTCAGGGACTAGCGACTCACTCAGGAGGAAGAACAATGAAGGCTGGGGTGGGACGGGGTTTGCTCTGAAACAGCAAAGAGGCCAGCCTGGATAAAGGAGAGGAGGCAAGGACAAAAGTGGCAACGGATGGATCAGAGAGACTGGATAAGGAAGGAGTCAAGACATCAAACCCATTAAGCAGCGAAGCATGGTGGAGCTAGACAGTACTAGTGTAAAATGCTGGCTCTGTTACTTACCACCTGTGCACTTTGGACAAGCTGCTTAGGTTCTTCGAACCTCTATTGGAGTAATAATAAGTTTCCTTATGGTTATTATGAGAATGAAATGAAATAATGTTTTTCTCTAAAACACCTAGAATTGTGCCCACACTGAGTAAGTACTAAATAAATATTAGTAACTGTTAATCATTGCAATAACTGACTGGTCATGAGTTTCTGTCATTGTTTCCGTCATCCCTCAGATTGCATTATATAAAATAGCTTCCTCCCCCTTCAGTTCACTTTTCACTGAGCCATAAGATTTCTTTTGCTTAAGCACTGCTATCATCATCATGTCATTTATTGCTTCTTATAATTTGGTCCACGGTACAGTTCCAAAGGGATCACTCAGGACTTTGTTGGTAGGAACATCTATTCCAGCTTGGCTGGTAAGTCTGATCACTTACCCTCCAATGTCTTTGTGTCGGACAAAACATAAAATCCTAGGTTTTGATCATCATGCATTTGAAGTTGCCCTCTACCACAACTAATTAGATCCTACCAACATTTCTAGGGTTTGCCCTTTTCTCAAGAGAAACATTCCATCTCTACTTGCTCTTTCTTCTACTTTTAAACCAATCTCCTGCTGTTGGATATGCATGGTGTTTTCCTATTGTTATTTTAGTTAATGCTTTGTAAAATCCTAATTTATAACATAGAATAATTAAATGAAAACTTTTCAGACTGAAAAGGAGACTTCTGAGAATATCAGTAGTTCTGGTCAGTAAAGTGTTTATACCTATCTTATTAAATGATTACCCAAAAACTTTTTATGATGGGTGCATTTATATTACAGGAAGCATGAAATCAAATAATAAACTGTTAAATAACAATGAGTTCTCAGAGGTTTTCCCAGGATAAGGCCACAGTATGATACAAAATGTATTTGCTCCAATAAAAAGCAAAAGCAAGTATGTAACATAATTCCCATAGCTTTTTTGTTGTTTTTCTTTTTGGTATTTCTCCAATGTGGCTACAGAAATATTTTTCATCTTGGCATCTCTGGAATCTTTAATGGAAAAATTCTTTTCAAAGAAACCCCCAAAATTTAAATAAAATTTCAAATAGAAATACTGAATTAAGTTTTAACCTAAATACAATTCTCAGAGTTTGGAATCTTGTGCTATTTATGGTGCATGTAACATACACACAAGTATGTTCTAAGTCATTTTCAAAATATTCTTATTTCTAATTTGAAAAATAATGTTCAAAAATAGTGTGTGTGGTGTGTGTGTGTGTGCGTGCACGCGTGCACACGCAGGCTTAATATCAACCTAATGACAAGCTCAGGGAAGGCCAGGCTTTTCTATTGTCCTTACTGGAAACCCTGGCCAAAGAAACAGGTAAAAACTCCCAATTGCTGTTGGACACATGTTGTTGTCTTTGCAGGTGGGAACATCTATTCCAATGTCTTATCCTCCAATGTGGTTGAAGGAGTTAAGAAGGATTCACAAAGAAAGAAAGACGGTATTTCCAAAAGAAAAGGAACGCTAGGCAGAAAGTAGATGACAACTAAATGCATTTTTGCCAAACCACATTGCTATTATTACTGGTTTAGAAGACCAGGAAGAACAGAAAAGGCACAGGTGGGACCTGAACATTTTTTTTTTTTTGAGATGGAGTCTTGCTCTGTCACCAGGCTGGAGTGCAGTGGTGCAATCTCGGCTCACTGCAACTGCCACCCTGGGGCTTCAAGTGATTCTCCTGCCTGAGCCTCCCGAGTAGCTGCAGGCCTACTACACCACACACAGCTAATTTTTGTACTTCTAGTAGAGACAGGGTTTCACCACGTTGGCCAGGATGGTCTCCATCTCTTGACCCCCTGATCTGCCTGCCTCCTCCTCACAAAGTGCTGGGATTACAGGCATGAGCCACTGCACCAAGCCAGAACCTGAACTATTATTAATGCCACAACCTCTCACACAGTAAGGGCTGGCCACAATCTGAATTTTTGTCCAATAGGCCTATTGAGAATTTTGATCCTCTGTAACATATAAGACAAAAAAAAATAGAATTTATTTTAAAATTAACTTCTGAAATATATATATATTTCTAACTTAACTATAAAAAATAATTCACGAATGTAGAGAAACTTTCTGACTGTATAAAATAATAAATACAATAAAAAGTGTGTCACTTTCCCATTCCAGGCCTCAGTTTCCCTTCCTAGAAGAAACAGCATAGCTGTTTCTATGTATCCTTCCAGAAATATTTTTGGGATATATTGCATAGAAAAGCTTACAAAGGACTTTATATAAATGTGTATGTGTATGTGTATGTGTATGTGTGTGTGTGTGTGTATATGTGTGTGGGGATGTGTGTATATATATTCCTATTTTTACCCAAAAGGGAAGCTAGCATTTATACAGCTATGTAATATTACTGGTAGGTGGTATTCTGTTGTTTGGATAAATCACAATTAATTTTACCAGTCCCACACTGATTAACATTTAGTTTGCTTTTTCTGTTAAAACATTATTGCAATGAACATCATGTCTTCATGTCCTTGCAAATATATGTGCATGATAAATTTCTGGAAGTAGAATTGCTGACTCAAATCTATGCTTCGTAACTTTATTTTCACATTGGCTCCCTGAAAATGTGTCACCACTTTATTTTCCTAGTAACCAAGTATCTGTATAAGAATGCTAGTTTCCATACACACTTGTCAACACAGTGTATTATCTATCAATTTTTCTTTACCTTGTCAACCAGTCAAACATATTTTGTAACTGTGTGGCTCTATTTATTGACCTTTATAATACCTGTAATTAATAATATCCTCTCAGGAGTACAATGACTACTTCTATGGCACACAGACCTTCTCTTGTGAATGTAAACTTTTTCTCCCATCTATAAAGCGAAAAATTTGTCTCATTCATCAGAGTATAATTCTCATTTGTAAGGCGCAAAGTACAAGAACATGGCATAGCACTTACACTGTGGTATAGATCAGTTGCATATGTTAATACACCTGACGCCCCAGTCGAAGCAAGAAATGTTTCTTGGGTAGACTCTCGGCCTTTAGGAATTTGTTAACCCTCCTAGTTGAGCTAGAATTCAAAGCGGCAGGCCTGTACTTAGAGTGAGCTTTGTCTCTCAGATGTGATTTGGGGAAATTTACAGATTTCAAATGGCAAACTCTGCTATTACATACTTTATAATTTCAAAGACTATCTGTCACCACACAAAGACAAATATATTTCTTTTTTTAAAAAAACAACAACATCTGGTACTTTTTTAAACAAGCCTCAGGCTAGCTCTGTGAAATGAATGAAAAATGTGCTATAGATTGTTATTTCATGTTGCTTTTCATTTGATCAGCAAGTGTGGAATGTTGGCACCTCACAGAGTCAGCTCTCTACAAAAGCTTAGAGAAGCTTAGA